TAAATGATACATCAGGATTTTGTAACTTTCATATTCTGTCAAACATTATTATTTGAAATTTCAGTTGTCAAAAAAAAAAAAAACCTCCACTAAAACAGTATTTACATATTCTATTATTACAGGTATCTAATTAGTCAAAAATATTATAAAAAATCAAAAATATATTTTCATCTTTCATTTAAGGCTCTGTATAACTGAGAAACTGGTGCTCAATCAGTATTTTTCGTATATTTTGGTGGAGAATTTGTCACACTCAAAGACACTTTTCAGTACGAATAGCACTAAGGTTCAAACTTCAAGTCAATAGGAATGATGTCAGCTTTAGACCACATTCACTATGAAGCACTGGACAACTAATGTGTCACTATACTTTAAAAAAGTGATGACTGAGGATGGGGACAAGTGGGGAGGCAGACAGTGGTGGCCTCTGGCAGATGGAATCTCTTCTCTCTGCTGGTCCTAGAAGAGAAGAGAGACACCAATAAGCATCAACACACTGTCCGAATTCCTCCCCACCAGAACCCACCAGTCCATAGGTGTTTCTCAACCTCACAGCCATCCTCACCTTCATATATGGTATTCAGTGCCAAGAGGATATCAAAAACACCATCCTATCCTAACTTAATTAGGATAAGATGCTGCCTTAAAAAAAATAAAAACTATCAAAAATGTTATTTATTTTCATACAAGTATTTTCTGCATCAAATGGGGCTGAAAGCAGCTGGGTTGAAAGTGACAGTTCTTACCTATATTAAGGATAACTTTCCAAAAGTATTACACTCAACTATTTTAAATGATAAAGAAACCATGAAATATAATTTTAAAAGATCTGAATTATCCATGTGTGTGGGGGCACATCTGTACAAATCAAGTGGCAACCACCAAATACTTGGGTTGTAACTACTGGGACTCCCATTCAATGCCCATGGAGAGACAGGGTGAGGAGGCTGTTTACATCAAGCTGATAAAGAGAAATTAATCAACGTGTACAATTTGAAAAAAGTTATCCTTACCCTGGAAAGAAGCCCTAAAACACTAAAATTAAAAAAAAAAAAAAAATCTAAATAGATAAAATAACTACAGTAGATAATTCCTTCAATTCTACAATACAAATAGACTTCTACAGAATCTCCTTTTCCTAGGTAATAAAGTTGGTAATTCCAAACAACTGGCAAATTCTTCGAGACACTAGCAGAGCCTACAAAACCAGAGCTCTAAGTCCGTTCTCAGTCTTGTGGAAGACCTAGTCACTAGAAACTACGTTCCAGGTAAACCCTGCAGGACACAAATGTTATTTATTACGCAAGACTTAGGTCCAAATGCACACAATGGGGACTCGATCAATTTAAATTAAATTAGCAGTAGCTACATTTCCCCGGTACTGGTCGGTACTTTCCTGCAGGTGTCGCGCTGAACACTGAGGGCACAGACCGACCGTCAGGCGCCCGCTCGGCCCCAGCACGCGCTGCCCCCCAAGTCCTGGGGGCCCGGTCGTGCTTCGAGCAGGTGCCTGAGCCGGGGGTCCCTGGGCCCGGCTTTCTCAAGGCCTCGGGAGGCCCAGCCCCGTGCTCGGAGCAGGGCTCACGTCCTGCTGGGGGCCGCGGACGCGACAGCAGCACGCGTGGGGCAGCGGCAGCGGGGGGGAAGCTGCCGAGACTGCCCGCCCCAGGGGCCGCTACTGCGGAACCCCCGGGAAAGCAGTGGCGGCGCCAAGGCCACGTGAAGTCAGCGGACACGTGAGCGTAAGAAAATGAAAATCTTTAAGAAGACACCACCTCTGGCGCCGTGAAAGCTGCAGGGAAGGCGGCGCTGCTGGGAGCCCCGACAGGGGACGCACCCTCTCAGCCCCCGGGCCTCGCGTCACGGGAGCGCCATTGCAGCCCCGGGCCGAGCGCAGCCCCGACAGGGGACGCACCCTCTCAGCTCCCGGGCCTCGCCTCCAGGGAGCGCCATTGCAGCCCGGGCCGAGCGCAGCCCCGACAGGGGACGCACCTTCTCAGCTCCCGGGCCTCGCCTCCAGGGAGCGCCACTCCAGCCCCGGGCCTCGCGTCCGGGGTGCGCCACTCCAGCTCCCGG